GTAATTCTTCTTTGAAAAGATGAAAATATTTCGAAACAAATGAACTTTCTATAAAAAGTTACCTGGGGATATAAAGGAAAGTCATCTCAATAGCTTACTTATATAAAAACTTAATAATTTATTGCCAAAGTTTTTAGACATCTTGGCTGCCATTTTATCATTTTAATGAGAATCACCATTAATTAGATGGGTTCGTGAATAGCTTGCAAGGAGTAAATGGATTTATATAATAGTTTTTTTGCACTTAAACTCTTCATGTTATCTAGATTTTCCTTTCCTGAAATCCATCAATTATTTTCCCATCCCAGACGATTAATTAATATTAGCTCTCGACATCTGGGATAAAAATTTCCTAACCCATCTACATTAGACCTGTTTCAGAAATATATAAACCTAAGCTTACGAAAGTTAAACCCAAGCTCATCAAACATGGAGCACCTTCTCTCAAGAAAATTTCCATTTAACTTTATCAACCGCAGTTTAAACTATCAATAACAGAAAACAAACCTTCCCCCACCCATCATTCAATTCAAGTATTCCTTTGAATGTCATCCCCGCCAATAAACAATATCATCCTACAACTTCTAGTCTAGAATCAGTAGGGCTTTTCAATGAAAGTTTCAAAATCGTTCTTTCCTTTCCAGTCTGGTACTAACCTGTAGGTTAATTGGCCAAGACCAATAATTTTTACATTTTGCTTTGATCCACGCGAAATAATTTTTAATATAAAAAAAGGACTACCATATTAGTGTTATTTACCATAGTAACACACCGTTATAGTTTTTTAAATATTTACAATTTTTTTTTAATTACTAAAAAACAAATTCAATAGGGCAAATACGTCACATAAATGTTATTACTACCCATTTAACCGTTATCGTGAATTGAGAGCTAAGTATATATAATATGCTCTATTTTTGTACTTTTTTGCCCCGTATTAAACTATGAATGAGAGGTTAATTGGCTATTAAATCCTAGGAGAATCGATATTCCGAGGGCAGTAGACTCAGGGAGCGTGCTCGCAGGGGCTTAAGCCATAAAAGGCTCATTTTTTGTTAGCTAAAAAAAAAGATAGTAATTTAAAAGTCTACTTTCAACAAATGATTTAAATAAACATCCGGTCAAATCAGATGTTTTTATTTTATGAATGGCCCTCAAATAAATGATTAAAAAAATGAGATATATTACAATTCTTCATGGATTCCAACTCCTTCGGACATAAAATTATTCATTTTTTAAATGATCGAATTCCGTTCAATATATTAAAATGGACCATCATCTAACTTGATTACTTGAATATTTAATATAATCCTAACAGTTACCCTGCATTCACCATTGGCGCAAAAATTTGCCGCGAAGTATACAAAATATTACTATCTATTTGTATGCTTCGACGCCAGTGAATGCAGGGTTATAAGAGTTTAAGTTATTCAAAAATTGTTTTATTATCTGTTCAATAATGAATTACCCACCAGTTAACCAAAATAGAAGTAAGTAGAAGGAACCGGGTTTATATATATATGTGTTAACGGCAATGTTTTTTTTCCGGGAATGCGTTATTTTTTTTAACTTTCAATCATTTTTTGAGCTCGTTTTTTTTAAAATTTAAAAATCTATTATTTACCCTAAGAATTTCAGACAATTTTTCATGAACTTTTGAGCTAGATTTTTCACATAAATTATAAATGACACGAAAGTTAAAGGTAAAATTATCTACAATTTCTAATACAACTATTCTAAACATTTCGATCAAATTATATTTTTAAATTTAAAAAAAAAACGCGCTCAAAAAATGATTTATAGTAGAAAAAAATAACATATTGCGGCTTAACATATATATTGCCAATATCTTCCTAAAATTAAATTAAAATCTCTTTTATGTATCGAAAAATATTTACCACATATAAACATATATTTTTTTATAAGTTTATTTTTAACATTATATATTTATTATTTTTACTACATTTTAAAAAAATATGCATTGATATATTAAAACTATATAAAATAAACAAGTAAAGAAAATCATGTAATTAATTTGTAACAAGCCTAATATAAAAACGATATTTAAAATAACGTATAAGATGGGGAGGGTGGGAAAGGGGCATAAGGAGGCTCTCGTTGAGATTCGAGGAAGCTAAGATAGTTTCCTAGAAGCAAGGCGATTTGACTTAATTGTAACATTTTAAAAGAGGATCCATGATCATGATTTGGGAAATTCTTTATCTTAATAAAATAGCGGTTCCATTGGTAGAAATAATTACTGGGATAGTGAAAATATGAAAAATCGTGGTACTTTCTAATTTTGAACTTCCAGCTATAATAATCGTATCATTATAATATTATATTTACCACACAAATAATAATAATGATATTTAAAATAAATTAAGAAATAAGAATACAAAACAATAGTATATACTACAAAGTAAATATTTTAAGCTTTTATATATAGGTAGTGTAAATTATTCATAGAATAATAAGAGGAAGAAAAATGATTTTTAAAAAGTTGGGATATAGGCTGATAAAATACCAATGCATTAATGAACGCGTTATCCTTCATCAATGGAGTACATAAACTTACATAATATTTTCTCTGATTATATTCATTGGATTCTATCTGTTTTAAAAAAGTTAGTATAAATTCACGGTCTTAGAAAGTAATGGGTTAATGATAGTCACTACCCTAAGGTATTACCTATCAAATTTGTATTTTGTTTATTTTTCATTTGGATAGGCACTACCAAATTCATTTATAATATATATTTGAAAAATCGTGATTTTTGGAAAGCCTCTATGGCCTAGTTGGCGAGAGCGTCACTTTCGAATCCCAGCAATGATCATGTTATTTTTTTAATCTAACTTGATGGTTCAGTCCTAGGGGGGATGTTATATAGGAGGCCACTCAACCATGTGATTCCGTTATGATATATGTTAAATAATAAGAGTCTTATTACACTTTAATAAATTTTGGTCGGTATTTAGCAAATTTGGTTGGTATTTAGTAAATTGATATACGTTGACTTAGTAGTGACCATCATCAATCTAATCAAAGTAATGCAATGTCATAGCTCTTTGAGGAAAGCCAGGGTGTGAATGTCGAAGGATGTACCGTAATTAAAAAATTTCTGACTGGAAAGCAACGAGGGAAAATATTTGATAAATTTGCTTCATTTAGGCACAAGCATCATGGTTTATGTTAGATGTTAAGTAGATCCACAAATAAAACGTCCTAGGCTAGGAACTCGCAACTCTCCCATAGGATCCTGGATGTCACGGCGTTTACCATCTGCATCGTAAAATTCAGTTAGCTCAAGGGTGGAAGGAGCATCATCAGATTTCTAGGTACGAAGTTAGGGTCATTGCATTCGGTTCGCCTTGGAAATCTGCCTCTACAGCGTTTGCAATGCGTGACTTTTTAGTCAACGGGCGTTTGACATGGTACACATGAGTATGGTATGACCATCACATCTTGATATTAAATTTTAGTACGGTGATAATTCCATCAGAATTCTAGATATATTTTATCGAGATTTTTATCTAGGCTAGTGGGTAGCAAGAATGGCAGGATATTGAAAAATATGTCAATAATAATCTTTGGAATTGCAAGGTAATCCTTAATAGAAAAATATCTGGAAGGCCAGTAGGTACTGTATAATCTCGTACAAAAGTAAGATCTTGTGAAGTGTCTACAAAAACACTTTTCTATAACGGTTGAGCCTAATTGAAACATTGCTGTTTAGTGGGATAGTAATCACACTCTGCGTATTTGTCTTTAGCACTGTTTCTATAAGATTTAATCATGTCGATTGCTCGCTGACTTCATGGGATGAGTGTTCTATATTTCTATCATTTATACATGGGAAATATGCCGACATTTCTATCACGAGGGGTGGGAATGTAAGACAAAAGATCGTTATTAAAATAAAACAGGCTGGTGTTTCGATAATTCAAATTCTTAGAGGGTTAAAAAAATATTTATGGGAGGAAAGGAGAGTAAAATATTTATGAAGTAATGTCGAAATTATCTAAGAGGGGTAGGGGGGGGGGGGTAGAGATATTTGGGGATAGGTGAGGTCTATCAGTGGACTGCGAATGGCAATCATTCTCGACCTAGTGGGAATCTAATATTTGTCCGACCTAGTTTCAATTTTTCACTAAGGTTGCCCAGCTCAGTTTTTAAATACAAAACCTAAACCTGAATACCATTAAAAATCAAAATAAACAATTATTCATAATCTTGGGGAGTGGTTAAAATTAAAAAAATATACTTCAATTATCATTTGTATGAAATATCAGAATTTCATCAAATAAAATACATACAGAAAATAATTTCGCCAAATTTTTTTGCCCCACCCAGCTCAAAATCTAATAATCTTAATTAGATTAGTGTTGCTCAACATTTTAGCTAGAAACATATTGACTAAGCCTCTAGATTTTGTTAATAGATGTTCCAACCTTGTGCCACCTATGAACGAAATCTTTCCATAAAAATTTTTCTAATAAAATATCGAGTTAGCCGTTTTTAAAAATCGGCTCAAAATGAAAAGGTATATGATCAGGTCCTAGTTTACTTGTTTATAAGTTAAGTTTACATCTCATTTTGAGGACTTTTTTCCTTTTGCGACAAATAAATCGTGATATTTAAAATTACGGTATCTCAGTTAAGTCACCCAAGGACTTAAAAATATTTATAAATAAATTTTATGATTTGTTTTATTTAAAAAAAAATTAATTAAACATAAATAATATTAAAAAAGCACTTTGATAATTCTACCCAAACCTTTCTATTAACTGCTAACTATGTTTTTAAAAGTTTGATAATTGAATCCGGGACTCTCTAAATCTGTCAGAAATGAGTGTAATTGATATAAAAAAGTTATGACAAGCAGCTTGATCCATGAAAACTGGATCAAATGATCCTTATTAAAAATAATAATAGAATCGTTTTATTTAAATAACTATTTAAAATCCATTCAAGTTGTATAAATGCGAATTGTCCATTTGTAAAAAAAAAATCAACGGTGAATAATAATATAAATAAATATATATAAAAATTTACATCTATACGTATATAACAAATGGTTTATTTATATAATAATAATATATATATTTATAAATAAAAATTTTCACTAAAAAGGATATATATATATATAAATAATCACATAAATTCAAACGTTCTTTATAATATTTGCTCACTAAAAAAATCAATCATTTAATAAATTAGTGTTTGGTGGATTAAGATTGTGGCAAGCCCTGGTTTGATCACGTTATTATTCCCCGCCGCCTGTGAAAATAAGATATAAAAATATAGAGTCTATTAGAGATTTTCGGGTGATAATTTTGACTCGAACCGAACAGACTCTAAAGAATTAAAGCGTTTTCCCGACTCATATAAAAATAGGTAATGATGTATAGCCGTGAACGTTATGTTTTTTTAAAATGTATATTATTAAAATATTCGTTGTAATTTTAACCCTGTATTGCATGTACTATGTTAGAATAATTTTTTTTTGGCAAACTAGATTTTTTATTTCTCTAGATACTATTGATAATCTCATGGCTCACTTTTTTAAAAAAAATTCTAAATTTCTTAGAAGATGAACGGTATGTGGATTTAAATACACATTATGCAATTATGGATACAAATTTCAATTATTTCCACAATAATTTTTATTGTACTTTAAACTATAAATATATAAAATTTTATTTAAATATAACAAATATTAAAGGTTTAAACATTTTAATTTTCATGAAAATCTATAAAACAATTATTTGTGGGCGTAAAACATAAATATACACCACATTTTTTGCAAGATACTTTTGTTATAAATAAGCATCCTGGCATTTTACATCTACCCTTCTTATCATTATATTTTGGCCAATGAGCCGTGAGGTCTTTCCTAACCTCTTGAAGTGGTAAATATTGAGCTGGTCCTTTTTTACATTTTTCCCGATAACCAGTTTGAACTGATTTTCGTTTTGGAATATTGTTTGAAGTGCATTTGCCATATTTGCAAAGGACTTCCGCCACCGAAATTTTGAAATTGTACAAACTTAATCGATCCTTGCCTGCTATTGATATACTATTATAATCCCGTTTGTATAGCAACCAAGAATTTATAAGTAACATGTCGAATACATGAAATAAAATTCGATGGTACCATTTTCTTGATTTGGTATGAATTCTATATAATGAAAGTAAAGAATCCATAAGATCTACACCTCCCATTGATTTATTATAAACTTTAACAATGTTTGGACATTTTATCATTATTTTATCCTTTTTTTTCTATCATATCTTTCGCAATCGATAAGAGGATGTGCACCTACAAAAGTGCTCAATAAGGTCACAGCACGATTGTCGTGCCACTTCACTGAATTTAATTCAACCCCGTTTATTATTGTTTTTTTTGAAACAAAAAATCCTCGTCCTTTTTTTTTCAACTCCTTATCTGTTGGGAAGTTGATATTTGGTAGTCGATTACCTCTGACCGTGGCCGCGCAAAATATCCCTCTTTGAGCGAGTACGACTTGCAAATTTGGTGAACAAAACCAGTTATCAAAAAATAATTTATAATTAATTTGCTGTGGTATATAAGAAATTAAACGTAGCACAGCATTGCCACTTGCTCCAACATCAGGCAATCCTTCCGCTGGTAGTATTTTCCCAGAGTATACTTCAAAATTATGGAGAAGGCCATCATCTCCGCATAGTAGAAAGACTTTATAGCCCCATTTTTTGGGCTTTTGGGGGTTATATTGCTTTAATCTGCTCATCCCTTTGTATGGAATTATTTGCTCATCTACGCAAATATTTTCCCCTATCGATAAAGATTTTAGTATATTATTGGTTATAGTTATCAAGGGTCTAATTTTATGAAGTGGGTCATGGCCCTCACTTCCAAGTGGAATAAATTTGTCATTATCATTTATATGAATGAATGATTTGATTTGTTCCCAGCGATTTAGGGTCATGACATCAGCCACCTTGGCCTGTCTTGTATTGGTGGCCCAGTAGAGACGTGCTCTGGGAAGTTTAATAATTGACATGTAAAAAATAATTCCTATAAATTTTTCTAATTCATCTATCGATAAATTCAAAGGTTTGTTGGAATTACATTGAATTGCATATAAATTTGATTCGTAAACAATTAGAGGTAATAAATCATTGAGATATGTATTATAATAATCCATTGGTTTTTTTACTTTATCAACCGTTGGGTTTTCTCCTTTCCACTTTGGAATAACTAATGGTAAATTAGTTAAGCAATTTTTCCAAATCATTTTTCTCACGATTCCTTTTTCATTATTTATATTTTCATCCTCTTCCGATTCATCACTCTCATTGAAATCTAGATATTTATAGATTATATAAGAGCATACATTTTAAATATACCTAAATCATTATTTTGGGTTGACAGAAACTCCTCATCAGACGATTCACTTAAATTTGAATCTTCACTATCATTAGGTATGGTACCACAATTCATAATTCTAAAAATATAAAACTCAAATAAAATACCTTATTTGCATAATGTGTCTTTAAAGCAACGTATGATTATTACAAAATATAATTATCAAAAATAATAAATATATATAAAATAATTTCATAAACATTAATTTTTACCTTTTATTTATCTAATTTTAATGTTTTGAAATTTGTCAAATATATTATTTATCCTTTTACGATGTGTAGAAAATTGAGAAGAAAAATTTTATAAAAAAATAGCCATTTTTAAAAATAGGGTTTAATAAAATGCGAAATTAAAAATAAATAATAGATCACGTGGCCCAAATTAAAATTCCAATCGAAGATATAGAATATGGCTTCAAATACACACCATGCAATTGATTTAAAATTTATTTATAAAATATTTATTATATAATTTGTGGTATGTGGCTTGAGATACACAGTATGCAATACAGGGTTCTTTATATACAAAAAAATTTCATGCTTTCGAGTAGCGTCTGTGGCCTAGTCGGCTCAGTGCATGTATCACAATCCGATAGTTCAGGGTTCGAATCCAGCAAAGTGTTTTTTTTTAAGTCCACTACGTGGTTCCGATTAGTGTTGTTAAGATACTCGATTTAAGCCATTTTTAAAATACGGCTACTCAATATTTTAGAAAGAAAAATATTGACTAAGCCTCTGAATTTCGCTAATAGATGTCCACACCTTTGTTTTTCTCGATAAAATATTGAGTTAGCCGTTTTTAAAAAATCGGCTCAAATCTAACAAAACTAGTTGGGGGGATGATATATAGTGGAGCGGACTCGATCACGTGCTTCGTTATAATATATATATTAAAAATAATAAATGGGTCTTATTGCATTTTTATGAATTTTGGTAGTTTTTTATGCAAAGTGAACTAACGTCAAACATCATTACCCTATAACCCGTCCCAATTCGAACATAATAAAATTAATTCCATGTTAAGTCGTGATTTATTTAATATCACTGGTTAAATTCGAATTTTAAAAATATTTCAAAATCCGACCCCTTTGGAAAAATAATTTTTACTAACCGCACCCAAAAAAGGTTTTGAAAGACCTCTACCATGAGTATGATTGGATTAAGCGAATTTACGTAAATGATTTATTAGGGAAAATATTCGAATATTGATAGAGAAAGGTGGAATATTTAAAGGCGTCAAATCAAACCGGATTTCTAGTGTCCCGCATTTCTAAGGCCTGTGAAATCGCGTCAAATGTTTGCTTTCAGAGTGGACCCTCATCTCCCGGCATTTAAAGTCGTTGAGCTCTTTGCGAATCGTCGCTTTGTCTCTAGGAGTGAGTCGGGTCCAGGGTTTGTCAGCCTTACGATCGTAGGCTTCTGCCGGTGTCGTTTCCACGTAATCGTTGAAGCGTATAATTTGACGCTCCTTGAGTTCCTCTATGGTAGGCCGGAAACTTAGCTATTCGTTTGGGATAAGCAGGGGGGGGGGGGGTCAGCAGGATGTAAAAAGTGGCGTTATTAATTAAACTAATAAAAATATAAAGGTTCCTAGAAGGGTAACAGCTTCAAATTTAGCCCGGAAGAAAAACGGCTAACCAAAAATTTAGCCAAAAAACTATCTATTCCCCGTTTCAATGCTAATCAGACTCTTTTTTTTTTGAAGAGCGCATATACATCGAACTAATTTAGACGGACTTTTAGCCATTATTACCCTATACACTAAACCTGTCTAATATGGGAATTGTTGGGATCAATATTTTTTGCTAAACTTAGACATTAGCCCAAATTATCAAGGTATTTTCTAATACACGGTAGCAAATTAATAGAAATTCGATGTGAACTCACATATTTGGTAAAATTAGGGAGTTGCCAGAAATCATCAGGAGCCAAAATTAAAAGTTTTAACTGTATATTTTACGTTTCGGTTTCAGGAGATATGCGATTCTACAGATTTAATTTAAATATTAAAAAGATGGGTTGGTGAATTATGTCATTTTATTCTTAAAATAAAAATATATGTAATTTCTATTCCAATTATAATTATATCTGCTGTCATAATTTTGTCTAAAGTTGTTTCTTAAATTGTCATTAGGTCTATAATAATTATTATCCTCATTTACTATTATAATTATTATAATGATTCTTCTGGTTATGATTTTTATAATGATCACGTGGTTGAACTAGAAATGGTTTATCTTCATAATACCCTTTTATTGTGCCTATGAATTAACCTTTAGTTAATTCCAACAATTGGTCATCTTTCAAGAAATCAAAAAAATATGAAAAATATCATCAGGTAATTTAATAAGAAAATCAACTGTTAATTCATTTTTAAATACATATTTTTTTAAGGCTTTCTATGTATTCATTTATTATCCATTATGAATGATTTACGTTATAAGTTATTTTATGTTATAAATTATATTTATGCTAAAATGACTTTATTTTGGAATGGTACTTTAATTTGTAATAATTTTTCTCTCAACCCGTGTTACCTTTTTATAACATGGCGCGGTTGGCACCTCCGGGTGAACCGGAAAACCATGTTTGGAGATAAAAAAAATTCTGGTCTTTTTTACCCGGGAAATAAACTAATAAAAACATATGGTCAAGTTATAGATAGTGTTGATATGATTTTTAAAATAATTTTACTCAATTTAAAAAACAAAATTTAGATATGCAACTCAATGTGATGATCAAGAACCAGTATGGATGTTGGACAATAGGCTCAGTGAAACCAATGATGATTTGCAAACAATTCTAAATGCACGTAAAGAAGAAAAGTTATTATAAATTAAATCCAAAACAAAGTCAGAAATTTTAGCCTAAAAATAATTTATAACGTAAATCAATCATAATGGATATAAATGAATACATAGAAAGCCTTGAAAAATATTTATTTAAAAAATGAATTAACAGTTGTTTTTTTTATTAAATTACCTGATGATATTTTTCATATTTTTTGATTTCTTGAAAGATTACCAATTGTTGAAATTAACTAAAGTTGAATTCATAGGTAAAATTAAAGGGTATTTAGGAAGATAAACCATTTTTAGTTCAACAACAAGATCATTATAAAAATCTAAATATTGGCAAATCTCAGTCTAAAAAAAAGTTATAATAGTAAAAATCATAATCAGAAGAATTATTATGATAATTATAGTAGGAATAGGAATGAGAATAATAATTATTATAGACCTAATGACAATTTTAAGAAACAACTTTAGACAAAATTATGACAACAGATATAAATAATAATTATAATAGAAATTACAATAATAATAATTTAAGATATTATGACAATAGTGATTGTAAGAGATAATTACATCAACAATTATAATAATAACAACTGTAGGGGTTTCAAAAATAATAATAAAAATCATAACTATAATAAAATTATGGAAATAAAATATGAAGAACCAATTGATTTAGAAAAAAATACATGATTTGTTTACCAATGATGATTTTAATTTTTACCATAAAATGGAAAAACGCTAATTGGTTAAATAAGGAACATTTTTAAGAAACTAAAAATACCTAATGCTATGAACATGAATCGTACTAAAGCAATAAAAAAATTTAAAAATTGTTACTAAAAAATTTTAAAATTATTTCTAGACAATTTATATATTAAAACGTAATAGAAACATATATAAATTAAGAAGAGATATAAATTATATGATGAAATTTAAAGAAATACTTATAATTGAAGAAATTAAGGATATAAATAATATTAAAAGTAAAAAATTCATAGGAAACTTAACACTATTGAAGACAACAAAACTTTAAATCCGTACTTAAAGGAAGATACTTTAAAGAATAAAAGTATTATTAAGAGAGATAATGTCAAAGCTCAACATCTTAATTTCAGAAAATTTTTCCAAAGATGCGATAAAGAGGTCATTTTCTAAAGATTTGAGGCTTAAAAAATAATTTATTACTTAAAGCAATGATGATCTAAGGAAATATTATTATATTAAGACACTTTTTAAATAACAAGGGTGTGAAATTCTAACTTTTTTTTAAAAAAAAAGAGGGAAATGTGCATAATAATGTAAGTAGGAGGATCAAGACCTAGAGGAAGGCTCAAGATGACGTAGACAAATGTGATAACGGTGGATATGAGAAGCATGAATCTTACAAATATGATAGCGGTGATTATGAGAAGCTTGAATCTTACAAATATTGTACTCAGGACCGTCAAAAATGGAAAAGACAAAACTGGCCTACCTGGGTAAACCTGGAAATCGCCATAAAAGGGAGAAAAACGGAGAAGAAAAAGATATAAAAGTGATTTAAAAATTTTTTTTTTTAAATGATAATTGACGAAATCCCTAGACAAATTTTGGTGGTGTAACTCAAATCATAGGGGGTTTCAAAAAAATGGCGCTAAAAAAATTGGGATAAATTCGAATCCCATAAGTGATATTTAATCTAATATAATTTCTAAGCAAAAAAAATAAATAAAATGAAACTATATAAATAAAATTATGATCTTTTATTGGGAGGGGAGGGAACGAATTTCTTATTTGTTTTTGATTCTGTAACGCCATTGAACTAATTTTATGGCTTTGATATACCCCGAATTCGACTTGATTAACAAATCTAATTACCCGTCGTGTGATAGGAGGGGGGGGGGGGGGGAAGGGGAAGATTAATTACTGATATATGAATCAGTTTTTTAAATACACCCGGGCCGAACCGGATATTTCAAAACCGAATATTTGAAATCGCCATTATTAGCTATAAAAATCGAAAACGAATAATAATTTTTTTTTTTAAATCCGGGCCGGGCCGTGCAAATTTTTTTTTTTAAAAAAAAAAACCTTTCTTAAAAGCATCCTTTTGGTATTTTCTTTGTCCAATTTGATTTGTTCTTCGCTTCTCTGTTTCAGAATGTTTCTCTGCTCCAATTCTTCCGCGGTGGGCCTCAGACTCAACCTCCTGATAAACGGTTTTTAAAAAAAAAAATTTTTTTTTACAAATTATTACTAAAATATATCCTATTATCTTCATCTTCTTAAATGTGGGAAATATATTTAAATTATATTCGCGAAAAATTCTTAAGATGGAGCCAAGAAAGTCATAAAAAAAATTTTTTTTAAAAAAAAGACCGAATTCGAGTCAAGTAACCATTCAACCTACAAGTCCCTTACCTTATAATTCCATTTCTAATAAGAAAACAAGTAATAAAATAATATTCCAAGCTCAAAGTGCACACTTTGTTATATATATATATATGACAATTTTACATCGCGAGTGTCATGGCTATGACTTGCAGTGCATAATTATTGTTTAATATACTAAAAAAAATATTTATAAAGTTGGCTATTCTTTATGGACAATACTTTTGTCTTAAGACTTATCTATGCTGTTAATCGATGAGATTAGAGGATATGGCACATTTATTTCACGTTTTTTTTGATAAAATTTTTCGAACTAATTTGCTTACAAAAAAATCACATGTGTTCGCATATCAAATTACTTAATTACAATTGCACAATAATATCGCGAATAGGTTTTAAAAATGTGCGATTTCTGCTTTCCAACTTCTTCGCCTTTTAACAATAACCCACCCTACCCTCTCGTATAAAAAAAATGGCCTAGCTGAATTTATAAAGTAATGCTATTAAACGCAAATTGGTTACTAATTCCATTTACCTTGGACACGGTTGATAACATGAATTCCTAAATTTAGGGAAAAAATTGGCAGTCAACTTCGTTGAGTTATGTGAGGGACTATAAATAATACTTTCACCATAAATAAGTCAAAATTAATGTGATAAATTAAAATATAAAATTAACACCTATTAAGCTTGGCCCCTATTCTTCTCATGTTGAGCTTTGCCTCCTCCTCCTCATCTACTTCCCCATTTTGGCCATTCATCCCTTCTTGCCCGATATGATTGACGGGATCAGAAACAGCGTCATTTTCTGCTTCCCATTTGTGGCGGCTCAAATGATGGGCTAGGCTATCATTCCGGAAAATTTTAGAAGCCAGAGTTGCTATTTAATTTCATTTTATGAATTTTTTTTTTGAATCATGTAAATTTATTAAAAATTTCTATCAATATTATTTAAAAATACAATTTCGTAGTTGAGTTCCCAAAAAGGAACAATAATAAAATTTCTATCTGAATTTTTTGACGTATTTATACTTTGAAACTAGTAAACCTTTCAACTCCTTCAACATCTCTAACGCTGAAATTTTTACTAAACAATCATTTACTAAGAAATAATTGTCCAAGAGCTTTTGTATCTTAATTCCTGAGATCGACGGAAGTAAAAAAATACCACGAGAGTATTTCGGGATAAGTGCGAAAACCAAATTTTAAAGCTATATATATCTCAGCTATTAATTTATGTTTCGTCATAATATATATACTTTTTTAAAATAAACATGAGTTATTAATTATAGAGTTTTAGTCACAAAAAAAAAATTGCCTTCCATTATTAAATTTTCTAATACTTTTGAACTATAAAATAAATAATAATTAATTTTTTACTAGTTTTTAACATAAATAACAAATTAAAACGATTTCTAAACCCATGGAACAATAGCGTTTATAAACAAATTTCGGGTCAATCAAAATTGATTTAGAAAATATACTCTGGGGTCACTATGAACCCTACCTATACTCTCAAAAGCTTTGGGGGGGGGGGTTATAAGAAGAAGAAGAAGAAAAAATATATTCAGTTGTTTTTTTTACATTTAAAACATTGATCCATATCCTCATCGTCATTCTCACCCACTTCCGTGTTTTTTACCATTTCGCCAACAAAATTCTCCGAAACTTTGGCACGGTTCGATTTGTCGAAAAAGATATTGGGCGACTTATAATCGTCCCTGTAGAGGATGGGACCCATGTCTTCGTCTTCGTCTCCGTTGTCGTATTGAAATTCCAACGATTTGGGGGTCGGTTCGGGACTTTTTTTCCCACAATAAAAATATAAAAAAATTAATTTTTAAAGGTGGTTGTCTTTAGCCATTTCTGTGCATAGATTTCCAATATGTTTAATTTGTAGATTTTGATAAAAAAGTAGCATAGTATAAAAAAGTTTAGTGATTAAAGGGACATTATGCGGCTAAATAAAGCGATTTTAATTTAGTGCTATAAACGTTATTTCAAAAAATAATCGCGTTTATTTGTTAAGTTTGAAAAAAAAGTAACGCGTTAATCGCTACGTTCGAAAAAAGGAACGTGTTAATCGTTACGTTCGAAAAAAGGAACGCGTTAATAGATACGCAAGAAAAAAGGAACGCGTTATTATGGAAAAAAAGGAAAAAATTTAAGTTAACGAGTAATGTTTTGCGATACCGTCATTCGAAAAGGTAAAAAAGAATCGTGTTACTCGTTACTTTTTAACAAATAACGAATGGCATTCCTAATTTAGAGTTTACAAACATATGGGATCTAGTTATTTTGTCAGCCAATTTCTTAAATAAATACCTATATATTTTTTTACCTGTATTTACTACTAGTCTTTGGAGACGCGGTAGAGAGATGTCTATCGCTGATGTGCCAAGGATTCGAATCGAAGCCTGAAATATAAAATAAAGTATTTATTTTTGGATGGAAAAAAAAATTTTCAATAAATGATTAAAAATCATTTTTTCCCAATCTCTATGGGTGGATCCCTTATGGTAAAAAAAAGAGGATAGGTGCTTAAAACTCACTACTAAGGTCCCTCTTTCAGGAAATCTAGGAAAACTTACAGATTTAAAATGAACATAGTTAATCATATGGTTCAGTATATACAAATGTATAACCGAACTATAAAATTATAATATAAAAAATCTTAATATTGATCCTCCTCCTCAGGTGATGGTCAGAAATCTTTAAAAGCTAATTTTGTTGTTTTATGGCTTTTTTTAGGGCATAATCAGAATGCAAAGTTTTTTTTAAACGTTCACGATGATGATTCGTTAGGTATTGCCAATAAAATAAAATCCCATATGTATTCACAACTAAGCCGCAAACAATGTATTAACAAGGGAAGAAAAATTTGAAGTTGTTGAAATTTTGCAAATAATGTTATCTAATTTATTTATCTCAACGATGTGAACTGAACAAATGTGGCATCACCACATCCGAATTACCATGACTTAGGGTCGAGATTATAATTAATCTTTTCTATTTTGAATGATACTGTGTTTATTTGCTAAGAAGCAGAATGTTTGAAATCTAGAAAAATATGCATTTTACCAAGTGGATGGATAAACAGCTGAATTCTTTTATTTCATTTTATTTTTTGAATTTAATATTTTTTTAAAATTAAAAAAAAAATTAAAAAAATTCTAACAAATCAGAACAGATCGCAATTTAATCAAAATTATAATTTCCGGATACCTATCTCTTATCATATGTTCACGAATGCATGCTTAGTTCGTAAAATTTATGATAAAAAAATATATGCGAAATAAATTAATGAACATTTTTTTTTAAATTGTTTTTTTTTAGTTAATCTTATCTTTATGCAAGAAATCTTAAGTTTTAAAATTGTTAAATAAAACATGCATACTGTTAAAAGATTATGAATAAAATCTCTACCCCCTTCCCTTCCTCCCACTCCTATTTCTATCCGTGTGATTTATTGTATCGTTTGTTCGAATTCTAATAGTGCGTACAAATTAAGTCAAACGTTGCGTTGCAAGCGCGAATAAAGCATTTCAAATGGCCTCGTGCAAATTGGTAAAATTATAGTTTGGCGTTAGCAACCATTTAAAAAATACGCAAATAGGTTTGCTTTTTCATTACTTTTTTTTAATCTTCGATTTGTAATATTATATAAAAATGTAATATAAAAAATAACTTACTTATAATCCTAAAAAGGAATATTTAGAAAATTAAAGAAATAAGAACGCAGACGATAATATAATTTTAAAAGACAAATCCTTTTTTTTTTAAAACTTATTTAAAATTTTGAATCTACGATATTAATAAAAAGGCAACCTCAATTTAAACAAGGGATGCGTTACGTTTTTTTTATTTAAAAAATTACGGCAAAACGTAAACTCTCAATTTGTGCCCACTATAAGACTAGTTACCCTTATTCTATAAATTAAAGGCTCCCCTCCCGGATCAGCCCAGGGATCTTAGAATCAATTTTTTGAAACCCGCACGGAAAATATGAAACCGGGCCTTGGTCGTAGAAAATCATCAAATTTTTAAAAAAAATTCCGCGTCGAAAAAAATAGATCATTATTTAATATTTAAACTAAAATCCTTAAAGTAAGGGAATGGATGACAAAAATTATTACTTATACTATATTATTCCGAGAGTGAAATCGTTAGCCTCTTAAAAGCGGGAGCGGGGAATAAAAAAATGAGGCCCACCTAAATTTTAATGTTAGGGGGGGGGGGGGGTTCATGCATTATGTTTTATTGAAAGTCAATTATATATGTCGAACTTTTTGAGTTGGCAAAAATCTATCCAATTAAACTTGAAATTTTAAATATTTAAGAGAACTTGGAAACGTTATTTCAAAAAAAAATATTTAATCACCGGAACACTTGAGGGCACTTTTTTTGGGCACGGCATTGAGTTCGGGTTCCTTGGCAGGAATTTCCTCCACAATCGAAGTATCGATAAGGCTGACAGGGAGGGGTGATGGCTGAATCAACAGAAATTGGTCGCAATTCTCGTCATTTTGCTGCACCGCGTCATCGTGCCATGCCGCGTGGGAGTAATCCGAATAAGCTAAAGATTTAAGGTCCCGTGATTCGCTCGAGGTCGTCGAGCGAAAATGTGTAGAAGAAAATGGAGCCGCGTTGACGTCTGTATTCGCATTTTTTCTATCTTGTGACGATGAATCGTGGTGAACCGAGGGGGAATAATATATTGTCGTGCTGTGATTGGTGCTGGGAGGATTGCCTGTATTGTAAAGTTGCTTTGTATGGTTGTGATTTTGGGGTTGGGTGGAAGAAGAAGTGTACGGCGAAGAATGCAAGAACGAGGAAGAGGGCTTCGAAGCATTCTGCTGAGTTATGGTCGTGGAGTTAGTAGTGGTCGAAAAGTCGTGAAAGCGGAGAGATGGTAGTGGCTCGGACAATGGAGGATTGATTAAGGTAGGAGATAAGGAGTGGCCGTTATGGGTTACTAAGATAAATTAGATATATTTTTCAAAAAAATGGTGGACAAAATATTTATCAAAATATGCTTCGTGTTAGTTTCATAAAAAAAATCTCTTGTATCTTCTAATTAATTTTGTAAATATAGAAAAATTAGTGCTTTAAATTTATATAAGCAAATATTATGATCGATCTGAAACCGGAACCAAAACCCGTAATCCTACTGACAAATCTAGGAAGGACTCTCCTTCTAAAAATTTTAGGAATTGAAACGAAACGGATCTACGTTCACCCATCACATTGCTCAAAATCTTGCGTGACTCATTTTATTTTGAGGGTTCAGCTAGTGTTAAGATTTCTTTTCGTTTGCTCGTTAAAGAAATTTGGTGCAAGAACCTGGAACCGGGGTCAATCTTAGAAATCAGAATCATAAAATATAGTCGGAACTTCAGAAACGGAACCCCTTTCAGCCCTGGTTCTAAATCAGAACTCTAGGTACAATTTATTTCATTCATTCATATATAAACATTTAAGAGTTGATAAGCTCAAATATCAATCTTATACTTAAAAATGCCCAACCAATTTTTCATTTAAAACATTTAAGCAATAATTAAATGGAGAGCTACCTCGGCTTAAAACGTTAGGAGTTGTATTTATAATTTGAGGAGATAAACACGGTGACGTGGCGGCACTTTTGGGCGATGAAATATTTTTTTCCTGGTTCTTATTTAATACATTGGTGTAATTTAGAGGTGGCGATGGTAACAAACGTTTATTAAGCGATAGCGGAACGGGAGATGCGACATTTTTATCGATATCAAGGATTGGAGGAATATAATCGCTACTTTGAGTAGATTTGGTTGGAGAGCCGCCTGTTTTATCAGTTTCTATATTGAATATAGTTGGAATAAAATATACTTTATAATAGGGTTCTTATAGCGAGTGCGATACTATAAACATATGACCGCAAATGTAAAACTACAGAAGCATCAAAATGGTATAATTTAGTATCCTAAATTAGGTAATTAAGATATACTAAAAATTTGCAGACTAGGGTTAATATTTACATAAGATGACGGCCCAGGGTTAGATTGATTAAATGTTTAGCTTAAACAGTAACTAGTTATAAGGGCTATGGTTTAGGCATTATATGGGATATTAGGTTAGATAATTAATACATATTAAATAAATATTTTCTTCTAACACTTATACTTTCTAAAAAAAATAATTAGCCCAACATGTATCGATACCGGATTTGAAAACCAAACCCAATTTAAAAATTTGAATTCGGAACCGTAATCCGGTTTAAAAAATTTGACCGGCCCAGGAACTCCGATTTATATTAATACACGAATTATTATGTTGCGCACAAAGTACTGCGCATAAAACAAAAATTTGTTTTAAAATCTTCTGCTTCAAATAAAAATCATCGTTTGGGGTGAAAATGTTTTAGTTTTACATCGTCAGATATTTAAACGACATGTCACATTGTACATCCCCCAAAAGTTCATTAATTTTAAATTCAATAAAAAGGTAATAAAAAAACAAACAATTATATGGGTATTTATTATGTAGGAATTATAATAAATTTTATTTTTAAAATAATCTGCGAAAATATTTCTAAAAATTAAAATCATTTGATTTAAATTCTCATTTTAATTTTATTTATTATAAATTAAATTAAATAATTATTTATATAGGTTAATTTTATCGATGAATCATATATTAAGTCTTGTATTTGTTTATATTATTTTAATTCAAGATAAAGTAAGCCAATAATAATAAATTTATATTTTTTTATATTAATGATGATTGATTATTTAAAATTTTCCAAGAATCTCTCAGAGATCTCCTTATGTTCCTAATACGTAACCCAAATTATTGGATCATTAATTTGAATATATCAGAAGAAAGAAGGAGGAAAAAATTAATCCGGTTATCCATTTTTTTTTAATTCCTTATGAAAATGACATATATATATATTTTTTAAAATTTCCAATTCAATCAAACCATCTAATCCCTTCTCCCCAATATAATATTTTTTTTTAAAAAAAAAATACAAAATTGCGGTGCAGTAACAGATTGATTGATCAATCGAATCAAAATTTGCCAATAATTTAATCAATATATTAATAAATAAAAAAATTACATTTATGATTATATATATATTTATTTATTTTCTTAAAAAATTACATTTGTCTTTTCATTTAAAAGATGCCATTTTTAAAAAAAAATGTATTCACTGACGGTTAGTCCCATTCAAGAACGAATAAGATTTGAATAGTAAATTATTCAATTTCGACGAGTTGAATACACCAATCTTGTAATTTTACTATTCGTACGAATATGAATTGTAGTTCCTGAATATGCCTGTTCGCGCACACGATAAAAGCCAGTTAATGTATCTACCGATACTTTCCTATCTAATCGATACCAATCTCCGACTATACCACAAAATTGATAACATTAACTTCTTATCCTACGTTTAAAATTATTGAATGGATAAAAAAATAAATAAAATTGATACACAAATTTCTAAACCACCAAAATTTTTGCACATTTTCCGTTCATCATCTATTTTTCTTCTTTTTTAATGAATGAAGGTTTTATTTTGATTTAAAAACGATTTACAATAAATTAAAATACTATGAAAAATTAAGAAACTTTATAATTAAAAATACAATTATTTAATGATGTTTCTAAACCAACTTGACCCTTATTTTTCAATAAAGATATTTCTACACTACTTACAATGATACATAATAATACCTAGACTGACGATGCATCCATAATAATGCATTTGAAAGCGTCGTTGAATGCAAATCAGCTGGGCCCGCCATTTTGGTAACCGATATAGTATTTATTCTCGTGTTAAAAATTACTATTAAATCGATTCTTTAATAAAATTTGCGTCAGACATAGGAATAAATTGGACTCTCGTTTAAAATTTTTAATATGGATAAACAAAATGGCATCCCCAGCTGTTTTCAGTACACTTTTAATGAATGCATCGCCAGTCTAGGCATTATTATATGTCAATGATTACACAATAATATTATATAATAGATTAACACACATCCCCCACCTCTCAGCCTCGGTATCCCTATCCTAAAAATTATTGGGAATATTAACCAGACCCCATTCTATTTTAAATGTGAAATTATATAATGTCCATCCAACTGGTGCGTGATTCCGAGAACTTATTTTTGATGTTTTTTAAAATAAAAAAAATCCATGTTTATCACCAAATTTTGGAACCACATGGAGCCTGAACCAGAGTTGTTAAACGCTATTTTTAAAAGTAGCGCGCTACCGCTATAGCTATTTGTCAAAAAAGTAGCGCGCTACCATAGCTATTTGTCAAAAAAGTAGCGCGCTACCGCTTTCGCTATTTGTCAAAAAAAGTAGCTTTAGCTACTTTTGAAACAAATTTTTTTATTTTTGCTTATAATGTAAATGTATAATAAATAATAATATAAAAATCAACATTTATAAATATAAAAATATAGTTAGTTTAGATTATAAAAAAAATAAGCAATATAAATAAATATTTATTTTAATTTGTTGCATTTTAATAATAATATCATTTCAATATTATCATCCCCAAGTCTAGAGCGACGATCAGAAAGTATAAGCTTTGCTTTACTAAATAATCTCTCGACACTAGCACTTGAGGGCAAGGAAGCTCTAAAAATATTTAATCAGATCAATTTATAAATATAAATAAGTTTTTACCTTCTGTTATGTGTCCAACTATCTACCGGTGTACATACATAAGATATATCTGATAACTCTACTATTAGAGCATCTTTCATCACTTTGAATTGTCGGCTATTTTATTCATAAGTGTCTGGCGACATAAAACTGTTGTGCCAGGGGATAAAGTTTTAATCATCATAGTAAATGATGGATTATCAACCAAGGACAATGGTTGAACTGTGTCAATAATAAAATCAACAATTACTTTATCAGCCAATTTTTGTGAAATATTGGCATGTTTATTATCAGTTAATTTGGTTTGGGTAGTATTTGTCTTTTTGAATGAAGATTCTCTTATACCAAAATTTTTTATATGTTTCTCTATTTCCTTATAGCAATTGGCGTGAACAGTCTAATAAAATAAATAATATTATAATGTAAAAATAACAATTTACCTTTAGGTGTTTCTTCATATTATAGCTACTCGATTGATTTGATGATATATTTTTTTTACATTTTAAGCACAGGAATTTGAATCCAGATTTTGTTTTAATATTTATTACTCGATTGATTTGATGATTTTTTTTACATTTTAAGCACAGGAATTTGAATCCAGATTTTGTTTTAATATTTATTTTAAATAATTTTTCAAAATCTAGAGAATGGGAAATCGTTATTAGAGCTATTAAGTGTTACAAGTCCGAACTTAACTCAGGGTGTTAACACAGTATTGGGAGAGCTAATTAAGAATCAAAGGTGTGTTAAATCTATATAATTAAAATAAAGGATTAATTTTAATAATAACGATGGCTAACTACTTACTTTTGAGCACACCTAAAATATATAATGTAACTCCTTTAAATAATTCTAATTTATTAAATTGTAGACTTACTTTTTCTGTATTAAATCTTTCCTTTTTATTAAATTTCACACAAATTTCGAAGAAACAAAATATCGTCTGTAATTCTTTTATTAAATTAATTTTTAAAATATCATCCGTTAAAAAATAATTATTTTTCTTAGCTATTTATATATTTTTTTATAGCCATTAAACATTATAAGTATTTGCATATTAAAATAATAATTTTTCGAAGAAATAAACACATAAAATAAAAATCCATCATTTAAATTAATTTTGTTCCATAAACTATAAAAAAATGTAAAATTTATTTTGCATATACAAATATAATTTTTCGAAGAAATAAACACATAAAATAAAAATCCATCCTTTAAATTAATTTTGTTCCATAATTATCTTTTAACTAAATTTGCATAATCCAACATCTCCCCCCTTTAATTCTCCCTTAACTCCATCGTGTTTGCCGATGCTACCATGTTCCTCCCTGGTGCACTCGAATTACTATTCGTGGTCAACTCCATACTTGGGCAAAACCGTAGTTTGTGTTCACCCCCGCACGCCCAGCATTCCACTCTCCTTCTTGTGCTATACGGTGCTATTCTGCGACCCCCTCTCGTCGGCGCTTCTTGTAGCCAATCTCCCTATCTTTGTTTCGCCTCGTTCCTAGCTGCTTCTACCCATCTGTTTGATTCTTCTGAATCGTCGACGTCTCTTATCTCTATCCTCATTATCTTGTTACCCACTCTAACATAGGAGATTGGCTACAAGAAGCGCCGACGAGAGGGGGTCGCAGAATAGCACCGTATAGCACAAGAAGGAGAGTGGAATGCTGGGCGAGCGGGGGTGAACACAAACTACGGTTTTGCCCAAGTATGGAGTTGACCACGAATAGTAATTCGAGTGCACCAGGGAGGAACATGGTAGCATCGGCAAACACGATGGAGTTAAGGGAGAATTAAAGGGGGGAGATGTTGGATTATGCAAATTTAGTTAAAAGATAATTATGGAACAAAATTAATTTAAATGATGGATTTTTATTTTATGTGTTTATTTATTTAAATTAATTTTGTTCCATAATTATCTTTTAACTAAATTTGCATAATCCAACATTAAGTACATTTTCTTCCATTGAATCTTCCATGTCTGAATCACTTTCAAGGATTTGGATATCCATGGGCGATGCCATTTTAGATTATTAACATAGATTGAAAATATATTTAAATTTCAAAATTAAATAATAAATTATAAAAATTATAATTAATTATGATATTATATTTAAATTTTCATGTTTATACTTACATTCATTATATTTTTTAAAAGTAGCGAAGT